AGTCCTTCAAGCCAGCCTTACGTCATTGCTTCTGAAGACCATGGAGAAGGTATTAGACAATTATATCAAACAAGGGAGTCTCATCAACAAACCCATACATGATACCCAGCACGCCTACCGAAGCGGCAGATCTGCGGAGACTGCCCTACTAAACCTTATAGATGAGGTTGAAAAGGCACTGGACGACAAAGAAATAGCACTCGTTGCTTTTCTTGATGCAGAAGGAGCGTTCGATAACACGCCCACCGAGATGTTAGTAAGAAGATTAGTCCGTAAAGAGATTGACTTCACTACTGTAAGATGGATAAGAGCCATGCTAGAGAGTAGGACAGTGAGGATGGAACTACTCAATGATTCACTAGAGTTAGCAACAAGAAGAGGATGCCCACAAGGTGGAGTACTTTCTCCGCTACTGTGGACTTTTGCGGTGGACCGCCTCCTCCATAAGATGGCTGAACTCCGCTTTGACACCCTGGGCTATGCCGATGACCTGGTGGTGATAGTGAGAGGAAAGTTTCAAAGTATGCTATCGTACCTTATGCAGAGGGCGTTGAACACAATTAACTCATGGTGTAAATACAATAATTTGTTGATTAATGCAGACAAAACCGTGGTCGTCCCATTCAAAAGGAAACGAAAACTGGACAAGCTTTCGCCTTCGACCATGAATGGGAGGCTCATTCCGTTCTCGACAGAGGTCAAGTATCTGGGGGTAACACTGAACCAGAAACTTACTTGGAACGCACATGTAGACGGAATTATACAGAAGTCTAAAACAGCTCTGATGATATGTTGTCGGCTAGCGGGAAATAGATGAGGCTTGAAGCCCAATATAGTCCTCTGGCTCTACACAGCCATCATAAGGTCGATGGTGTCTTACGCCTCGGTGGTTTGGAGTACAAAAACGACACAGAGTACTGTTATATCAAGACTTAACAGTCTACAAAGGACTGCTTGTCTTATAGTAACAGGAGCTATGTCTTCCACCCTGACTGCTGCCCTTGAGGCTCTGCTAAACCTACCGCCTCTACATCTACACATTGAAAAGGTGGCGAGGACTAGTATGTACAGGATCACCAGCATGGAGGCGAAGACATGGCTGTCAGGTAATTTGAGGTACCTGAAGGACTCAATATACAGAATACCAATCCTGGGGATGCGTACTGACACCATGCCCCCGAGAGTCGATTCACACAGATCATATCTTGTGGAGATACCCACCAGAGACGACTGGTCAAACAATCGTATAGTATAGAAAAATGGAAGCATAAAGTGGTACACTGACGGCTCCAAATCCGGCCCTGAGGTAGGATGTGGAATTTATGGAGAAGCCCCAAGGAAGGCTATAAGTCTGAATATGGGAAAGTACTCCTCAATATTCCAGGCGGAGATGTACGCCATTTTGGAATGTGTGGCAGCCAATCTGCAAAACAACTACCTCAATCGTACTATCTACATTCACTCTGATAGTCAAGCTGCACTCTTAGCACTAGCCTCCGACGTAACTAGATCGAAGCTGGTCGAGAACTGCAAACAGATATTGAACTCTTTGGGCAACAACAACAAAGTAGTTCTACGATGGGTTCCGGGTCACGCTGGACAAGATGGCAACGAACAGGCGGACACACTGGCGAAGAAGGGTGCTAGAGACGCCCTTTTCGGACCAGAACCTTTCTGTGGCATCCCTCAAAGCCTTATCCAGCTTAACCAAAAATTACCTTCGCACACTAGTTCGAGCGCTCACAGGGCATTGTGGACTGAACAGACACATGTACAACATGGGGATCAACGGCTGCAAGGAGGAAGAAGAAACACGCTTGCACATTTTGACTGATTGCCCGTCACTAATGAGAAAACGATGTATCTATCTGGGAAAGCACGTGATGCACCCAGACGATATTAAAGAACTTACGGCCAAGAAAATACTACATTTTCTTGTAGAACGTAATCTTGACCGTGAACTGTAGTATGTGGAGATCACAATAGATCAGCAATGGTCGCAGTGATACTGGGCTGCATAAACCCAAAATAATCCGCAACTCGAAACAATAGAATACAATACACTGAAACCATATCTTTTGATGACCGTGAGAGATCCAGCGGACCGTGGTCTATTTGAATAAACCAGGCCGTTAAGACAGTCAAGGCCAGAATTCGTCAAAATCCCATAAGGAAGCAGAAAATCCTTTCCCTAAAAATGGGAATCCCACCGAGGATATCAAACTTCTCGAATTATCAAACAAGACTTAGGTCTAGCGACTTACCGGAGATACACAGGACTTACCTTAAATCAGGCACTAAAACAAAAGAGAGTCGAAAGATCAAAACAGCTATTACTTCGATAATCGGACAAAAACACAGAAAAATTCTCTTTACCAATGAAAAAAATTTTTCAATCGAGAAACACTACAACAAAATGATCATGTGTATGCACACAGCTCTAAATAAGCTTCCAAGATAGTAGCCAAAGATCAGCGAGGCTCCATTGTTTCGAAAAAGGAGTGAAAACTACAGCCAAAATACCGTGTTAGAAACGGTAGTTAAACCTCTAGACAGCACCTTATTCAAAAACGAAGTGTGGACATTTCAACAGGATTCAGCCTCGAGTCATAAGGCGCGCACTGCCCAAATTTGGCTTGAGGAAAATGTTCCAGACTTCATAAAGGCTGATGATTGGCCTTTGGCTAGGACTAAAACCCTTTGAACTTTAAGTTGCAGTTTGTGCTAGAGAACATGGCCTGCTCTAAGCGTCACCCAAATATTGAATCGCTCAAGAAATCTTTGGAGGCAGCAGTGAACTAGTTTCCAATGGAAACCCTTCATTATGAAAAAAAAATAAGTAAGTCAAAATTGAAATTGCTCGTCACTCTGCCGGGTGATAGGCATCCTTTTTCGATTGTGCTGTTTTCGAGAGAGCTGATTTCGGCGTTGGTGTTGTCGCGACGTTGAAAGCGTGGGCGGCGCGTCAATATCAAGACGGCCCTTCACCTATGATCTCTCCGGAATTGACATCGCTGATTAGCGATCGCGTGGCAGCGTTTTCCTCCAAAAGGAGGTTTTTGGTTCCTACGGTACTGTACAAGAATTTCCTGGTAACAGTTGGTGGTACAACTCACTTATTTTCCTCGCTTCTGGTCCCGTTTCTACGAGCAGAGACCTATCGGAGGAGGGCTGAACATTCACCCTCACGCTCCAATAAGGTGCAGTCTTTCCATAATATTATTTCGTTTCCAATGGGATTCGGCCAGCGATGGACGACTGACTCAATAATTTTCTTTCAATAAAAATAAACAATTGATCGATTTACAAAACCAAGGTATTAATCCAGAACAAACACATTAGCTCGAGTCACTCACCCCTGATTTGTCTGAGTTAGTCGGCCATCTCCAGTTAGCAATAAATAAGCAATTAAATAAAATTACAACGTATCAAAGGATTCTGGTTTTTATTTATACTATATCCCTTGTCTTAACATACATAATATTAATATTAAGAACGGAAATATACTGAGCGCGGTCGCATTTAACATCATGCGCCAGTTTGAAGGTTAATTTTTTTTTATAAAGGCAAAACATCTATATATTCTGTAATAAAAAAAATGAGAAACTACACCTGTATACGTAGCATAACATGCAGTACATGGCACATTCGTAATTTAAAAAAAAATATGACGTCGACAATAGCATTTTGTATATTCCCCTCTGATTGGTTCAAATTAGTTAACAGTAGTATTAAATTGAAGATAAATGGATATAATCTGTACAGCCTGGTCTCTCCAAATTTAGTTTTTTTTATTAGTCTGTGCTGTCACCTCGAACTCAACAGAATACCAGTGCAATCTACCCACCGCTTATACTGAGTTGAGAGTATATTGTTCTGTGGTTGAGGTCATCCTTGTTACAAAGTGTTTTAATTTATTTGTATTGTGTAAATGGTGTGTTGTTGTCAATTTAATAAATCTCCTTAATGTCTTAGCATGACAAACTCAAAAGTTTTACCTACGCTCAAATGTTATTTTACAATATCTCCGAACCGGTTATACTATTTTACACTATTATTATTCTATTTTATATTTGATTATTCTATTTATACCATATTTGACATATTAGTTACAAATAAAATGTAACACTTTAAATATCTCCACCTATGCACTATAAACATTATACGAAGACTAATCTACCCACGACAAACGGTAACGCCCTTTCTACACCCAACTCCCAGTCCGCCATCTGCGCTTTGTATATAGTTCATGTCCAATTTAACAATGGCGAAGGGATATTTACGTTACAGCCTTTGTAAGCATATACTATTTTGGGAATAGAAAGAAAATATGTTAATTGACTTTGTTTTCGTAGTATAGTAGACTAACTATTTATTAATGTTATTAGTTGATAATGTAACTTATTCTTTGTGAATTATCGCCAAACATATGAAGTAAGTGTAATTAGGTTTTCGTAGTCTTGTATTAGATATTTGTCATATTATCTTACTTTGGATAATACTTATTAACTCACTACGTAAAAGCTAAAAGAAGGTTCTGTTCTGAAATTAGGTTTATAGCCTAAATTAACATATAAATAGATTATTTTATCCTACTAAAGGACTTTCTAGAGATAATGAAGTTGCAAACAGATGTCTACCACAGAATTATATTCATTTATAATATTTTATCTGTTCATAATAATCTCTGCAGGCCGGTTATTCATGCAAATAGGTATACACTGATTCCGTTATTCAGTTTCTAAATATTCTGAAAATCTATTCAAAAGGGTTTATTCAGTAAAGATTACTAAGCACCCATAAAAGTCAGAAAATATTGTATCAATTCCTAAATTTGTAGACCGATTTGCTTAAAATAACGATTTTATTTTTATTTTTTATGAATTTCAATGATACTCGGTGACGTGATAATTTGAAATCTAATAAATTTCAAATTTTACTAAGCTGCGAATTGGTGCAAAACAGTTAGTCTTTATTTTGTTTATACTAAAACAATGGGCAAGAATAAAAGTAAAGAAATTATAGCAATGAATGTTGAATTGATGACGATCTCATCATCAGCCCTTTTATGTCCCCACTCCAGGGGCTCAGGCCTTCCTTATGGATGGTTAAGGAGGATGGGCCATGACCCTTCACGCGGGCCCAATGCGGATTGGAGGGTATTAACGACTGCAAATGCAGCCGGGACCGACGGCTTAACGTGCCTTCCGAAGCACGGAGTAGCTCGAGATAATAACTTTTTGGTCACCCATCCCGTGACCGACCCTTGCGAAAGTTGCTTAACGACTACGATCGCGTGGCTCGACGCCACCGAGCTTCTCGCCTACTTTTATATTTATTATGAATAGAGATGACGATCTATTCATAATAAATATAAAAGTATTTCTTTCAGTCTGTTACGCTTTCACGACTAAATTTGAACCAATTTTAATGAAATATAGATCTTGGTCTTAGTAAAGGATATAGGTTACTTTAATCGGTAAAAAGGTGTTGAAACAGGACATAAAATCAAATCAAAAATAAAAGTATGAAATTTTATATTAAGGCACTTGATAAAATGTAAATAAATATCTTTTACCTGCCGTATAAAAATTGATGCACAAAGTATTTATTCTACTCAGACGGTATTTATTTTACAAAAAAATAATTTAAAGAAAAACAAAAATCCCAACTGCGTAAAAACGAATTTAAAAAAATACATGAAAGAATTAACTTAAATAAAAACTAAAAAGAAAGAAACAAGCCCAGTAGTTTAGAATTCTGTTAAGTATACAGAACGGAACGACTCATAGTCGGGGCCCATTCAAATTTTACCAATCAAATCTTCCCAAGGGGTTCAGTTCATCGATTTTTTTTTTTTCATTTAGACAATACGGCGTCTGTTTGTCGCTGTGGTTAATTTTGATTACTGTCATGTCTTTAGTGACACTCGCAAGATTAAGACGAATCGATTGACGTAAGAATCATCAAAATCGGCCTACGCATTTGGTCTCTAGAACGCCACATAGAAACAAACATATATACATACATACATAGACTGATAAACACATTACCCTCCTTTTCATCGCGCAGTCGGGTAAAAAGAGCAGTAAGGGCTATTTATCAGTTGGGTTCGAGGACATCACTTAGAGATAAATTCAAAGAAGTTGGGATATTAACAGTGACCTCTCAGTTTATATACAATTGCATACTTTATGTTAGAAAAAATATTAACAATTACATTAAACATAATCATGTACACAATTTTAATACTAGAAACAAAGATTAACTTTAAACTTGGTGTTAAATATGGCTTATTTTTATGTATATTAAATTATTTATCGGTGACCTTGTTTGAGTAGACATATGATTCGATTGACGTAAATACGCTTTACTTTTATATTTTCTAATATTGTAATGGAAAGTGACTTCATATTTAATAAAGACATTTTTCAATCTTGACGCTCTGTATGAAATAAAACAGGGAGAAAAAAGCAGCCCTTGCCGAGTTTCTTGCCGGTTCTTCTCGATACAAGGTCTCCCGCCGTAAATTTACGAACCGATGGCGTAGCTCTCGATATTCAGTCTGAATAAGCTGAATAAATAATAGTAACTGAATAATAGGCTGAATAAATAATTTTGATTTTGATTGGAATCTCACAACGCACGCCTCAGGGGCCGCTGTGTCAAATGTATATTTGTTTGATTTTTCTTAAATAATTATTTAGTTAATAAAGATCACAAATAAATTGAAAAAGCCACTTAATTATACAACGGGCATAATCCAGGGATAAAGTAAGGTCCAAAAAACAGGGGGTCTCTCACGGGCCATTAATACAAGGATTAATGTTGATATCCTTTTTTGCTGAAGCTTTCGTATCTGTGACAAACTGTCTCCTGTACGAACATTAATTATAGTGTTGCTGTTGTAATTATTGTTCCTTATAAGAGCAGGTATGATATCATTTTTCCTTTATAGCTTTATAATTAAAGCGTGTTTCTTACGCTAATGCAGAGAAGTATCAATTATAATTGTCATTAGTTTAAAACAACATTGCCGATACACATTTTCAAAATTAATTAAAAAATTTGTAATTTGATTCAGTCACCCAACAAAACTTTTATACGATGTTATTGCGATTGTAAACGTGTAAATTTAATACGTTTTGTAATTATAATCTTTAAAATTCAGTCTTAAGATTATTTATTAATAAGATAACCACACTTTTTCTCAAGTTTCAAAATAGATTAAGAACTTAAATCTTGTAAAATAGAAAGCTGATGACTTCAATCAATCAATTCAATTGTCCTATTCTTAAAAAATCAATGTTATTTCAGCAAATAGAAATGCACTATGCAGAGAAGAATGAAAAACCGAATAAAAAAATAAATAAAGCCGAAAATGGAGCGAAAAGTTAAGCCGAAAATCCGCACGGCGCTGCACTAAAAGAAAAAATAATTTCAATTTCTGGGGAACGTAGCGTTTGATCCCGAATTATTCTTACTCTAAGGCACTCTGAGCGACAAAATACGGAATCACGGTTTAGCACAGGTGCATACACTGCTTTTGCTTATCCCAAATACCCGTATCTGCCGTCCAATTGGATGAGCTGTGATATTCCTTATTTGAAATCTGTGTTCTCCCTGCACAGGCTGTGTGAAAGCGCCAACATCTGTCATATGTCACTTTTATAATTTTCAACTCTATTATCAAGCAACACGGTCTCACGAAAATGCATATACAACTGTGCAGGCGTAAAAATCCGCTTAGAAGATACGCCAGTTCCAATTTTAAAATGTTTTTATGCGAACTTTCTAGACTATTTTATTCTATTTTCTCTGAACTTAAAATATATTTCCATTTTAATTTTAATGTGATTCCAGAAATCATAAATATAATTTAAAATGGCCATTAAAATGTGTTCTTAAGCCCTTAAAATAATTAAAATATTTTAATATCGTTAGTTTTAGTTCTAACTGAATTTAAAAGATAACAAATGGTATTTCGCATAAAATACAATATTAACCATTAAAGTAAAGCTTGTTTCACAAAACTGAACCCATTGAACGGGTAACTAATATTTATTACCTTGAATTTCTGTCGCTACACCCAAAAGCTTTTAAAAGCAACCCATTGGAATCAGATGCTTTTGTTGAAATTCCTAACTGCTGTATATTATTTCATATTGTTTCATTACATTCCTAAAGAATTCGTGAAAGTAAAGCGTGTCTAAAAATAAAACATGACTTGTTTAGAACAACGTCTTGGTTTGCGAGGAAAACTGCGTAAAAAAAATTATTACCCCACTTTTATCAATTTGCGGTCCAAATGTTTGGCTATATTTTCCGCGCTTAAAGCTCCCGATCACGACTGTACTCTAGTTATTGTTATAGTTTAGGAACATAGCTGATAATACGAAAAATGCTTATTTTTTGTTGTTAAACATATATAATATTCAAACAAAATATTAATCCAATTATTCTACACAAGCTATAATAAAATCACTCGCATCAAATTATCATGTAAATATATAATTGGGTCCTAAAACGAATATTTTATTTTCAATATGCCAATATATATTATATGTGATGCCATCAGAAACAATTACAAGTAAAATATATTAATAGGCAGAAACAATCGTGTGATGTTTAAAAAACTCCTAACGAAATGTCACTATCACTTACAGACAGTGCTCGAGTATGACCCCACTACAAATATTCTATGTATCTTTGCTTTTCATTTGTTAATTTCAATAAAATGTATATTTATATCTTTATTTTATGATGCTCCATTGCCGCAATGATCTTTTCCATTGGTGTTATTTTTGGCCATTTGAAAAACGTGGCAAAATTATATATATTATCTTCTTGTTTCGTCCTCTCTTGGTTACGAATACGATTGTTGCACTTTGGAAGTTTCTTTACTTCTTTCGTCACACAATTGTTCGAGTGATAGTTTTTTTTACATTAGAGGCAAGTCTCATCTGTGGCAGTACAGTATTTGCTTAAGTGGCCAATTAACTTGCAGTAATGCATGACGGGAATGGTCTCCTCGCAATGCACTCTCCATATTGAACTCTCTTTCGGCGTTAGTGCTCGATAAATCTGAAGAGTTACTGTGAACGCGGCGTTATATAAATTCATATTTTTATTACGCTTTGAAAATAGCAAAAAAATGATTTCCGGGTATTTCCTGGTTCTATTTTCATATTACAACAGGAAGATCATCGGGCTTACACCGATGGTCGTATTTTCTAGCGGGTCCAACTTGAAGTTCAGAGTATTTTTAAGACGTTCTAGAATTTTCTTACTTTGGTCTTCCCTAAAACTCCACACAAATCTTCCCTTTGGAAAGTAGACGACATTTTGAGGTCGTAGTCGAGACGCATAGTCGAGTTCTCTGAAGTTAATGATGCCATTGAATCGCTTTAGCGTCTTTTCCTTGTCGTCATTGTGCTGTTTAGAGGTTACTATGATGGCAAGTTTTCTAGTCGGCGTCAAAAATATAGTGTATAGTGTATCATAAACATTTTGCACTGTTTAAGACGATGAAATCTAAAGGATAAATATTTTTAAGACGGCATGATGTCCACCTTCCTTATTTGGCAATGCACTTGTTAAGCTTTCCACTGGGCTTTAGTATAGATTTTATTTTAAGAAAGAGTTAACTGAGCATTACTGCTTGTAGAAAAATATCGAACTCCATAGATAAGTCGTGTTACATACACGTTTTGTGTATAAAAAGGTTATAATATCATCATCATCTTGTTTGAATCGGGACAGTTTATTAGTAGCGTGATTAAAGATTGACTATTCTCAGAAAACACTCTGAAAGAGGCAGCTCATCTCACGTGGGCAGATAATGAACCCAACAATTCGTCGAACGAAGAAAACTGTCGATAATACTTCAAGGACTACCGTTTGCCATAACGATGCCTAACGTTGTGATCTATTCACACAAATCACCACGACGTATGAGAATAATAGCGACAAGGTATCCCCGTCATCAGAGTCTCTAGTTTATAAACTGGAGCTCGTCTTAATAACAGTGAAGAGAAGATTTCTACATTTATAGAAATAGAAGCTCCACCATGGCCACTTCGATATTCTAAGGAGAGCAAGTCCCAGTTTATTAGATCTTCAGTAGTAAAGCAGAAGTTTCAGTAATACCGCTGATATTTTGACTCCAACACCTACTTAAACAATAAATATCGTCAGCTTATATTAGATCAAATTATTGTAAACCTATCATGGTTTTGTTCGATAGAGAAATATCAGTTTTCCAAAATGATACGATGGAAGCGTGGGTGTCGTAGGAGCCGACAGAGTGATTATACGGAAGGCGGGCAGCAGCGCCTCCCTACCACCACCTACTGTGATCCCCAAGTCGTCTCTCAAGA